GATGAGCAACGCACCGGCCAACAGCAGAGTCTCCAACCACGCGTCGTTCTTGATAGCAACTTGTATGATTGGTTCAACCTTGTTGCGGAAGAGAGAATGGAACGTGAATGAATGAAACACAAAGGTGAATGCATGAAACGCACGAAGTCAGTGCAATCCGAAGTGTGGTTTCAGACGGAAGTGTCGTTTCAACCACTGCCCAAGCCTGCGCATGCGCACTTCCGTCGGACTTTTCAGCCCCTGGCCCGACGAATCTGGCTCAGAACTGCTTCCAGATTCAGACAAAATCATCCAGAACAGTGACTAGGCTGATTGGGCCAAAGTGGGCGGGCTGGGGCTGTAGGCCTGGGTCCACGCCGTTTCATATTTGAATTTCAAGGACATGCGGCCCACACGTCGTTTCAAAATATTTTAGACCACGGCCACCTACCGGTTCCCAGGAAAATGCCACGGCCAAATATCGGTCATGCATATGCTTGAAGTGCGCCCACCCCCCTAAATGCCAGTGCCTTTCATTTTACCAGCCTTTGAACGACCAATGGGCCCGGATGAACGACCGGTATAACGAACGATGAAGAAAATGTCTCAGGGGGGGGAAAACGCAACCCTGACGGGCTGCGAACAACAACTGCAATGCAATGGACTGAAATGTAATGGGACAATGGCTTTGCGCCTTCCTCCTTAGGAATGGGACCGCAATTGGGCCCAACAACGACAATAAGTGGACTCACGCTATGGTTTCGCCACCAACAACAGTCCCCCCACGCCTGACAACCGATCCCAAGAACCTACGGCCACAAACAGGAAACCACGCTGAGTGGTGGAACCACCGGAAGCAGGAGGCACCCCAAACGGCGGGGGCGAGAAGTACTTCTCTAGAAAAAGGACAAACGTACTGGACGTGCCAGCCGTGAAATCCCGAATCCAGCGGGACCTTCCACCGCGAACCGTGTCGAGGGGGGCAGGGGCACGGGCAGCGAGCTGCCTGCTCTGGCGAAACGCCCGCCGTCCTGGCTGCGCCCCCACGCCCAGCGTGGTATCAGTTCGTTACTTGGGCGTAGTAAACAGCAGAATGGTTCGATACTGTATTTCTGGGAAGATGCAGTAGAAAAGAGAAAAAACAAAAGAGGAAACCACCCAGACCCAAATCGCCCACCGCCAGCCGCCAGTTTGCAACGGGGAAAAACTCTATCCCTCAAAAGGGAAACAATGGTGAGCGCCCTATACTAAATTGCAACGACCTTGACAAAATAACCTGCCCTACGACCGGTCTTAGAGGTGGACCCCACCGGACGGCGGCTTGGAAAAAAAAAAGCGCCCGATCGTTTTGGAGACCCCTGCGGTGATGGAAAGAGGTGTGGAAAGCCTCTTTGGAAAGGTTTTCCAGACCCGACCGGTGATGGAAAGGGGTTGCCGAACGGGGCGTTTCTACATGGTCGGCGGTCTGGAAAATCGCTGCCCGATCGCAGCATTCCTTTTCCAAACGTGGCCCCCAGCAGAGTAGGGGGGGGGGGCATGTTCTCCCATGGCATCGGAGGACCAGACGGCATGGTCCATGCAGCAGTGGAGGGGACCATTTTTTGGACCTGCGTTGCCGCTGCAGACAACCACAACGGAAGGCCATGGACCGGTGCCCCTACCGAACTTTCCTATTTCGGACCTGGCCTTTCAAGTTTCCCTATTCGGGCAAGTGCGGCCATTTCCAATGCCAAAGTTTGCCGTCGCGGTGGGGTGCCAACAAAGTCTGCCAAACACGTTCCAACGACTGCGACGGGACCCTGTTTTCTGCTGTCAGAGACCCCAAACGAACCCGTCCTCGCGAAGCTGTACTGCGCGACCTTACCGAAAGTGGAAAGAAATGAAACGACGAAAACGGAACGATACAAAAAAAAAAACAAAAAAAACAAAAAGCAAAAAAACGAAAATGGAACCCACACAAGCGCAGCCTCCTGTCTGCGAACAGTTCAGGGGCATACCAACTGAGCTGGCCCATTGCTTCACAGAGTGTTTTACTCCTGTGTCAACCGCCACGCTTCGATAACTGCGTTGTGGACATTCGAGAGGGCAGGAGCGGAGGAAGGGTGCCTGCCACCTCCTCCCGTAACAGAGAGCCGCGGATGCGTCAGGAGGGAGGTTTGGGAAGTGGGAGACGACGGACATCTTGTACCTGGGCTGGTTCTGGTGCTGCAGTGCACTTACAGTCAGTCATTCGGAGGAATCAGCTGCCACGTGCAACGGAGATACAAGATGATATCCCAGTTCTTCATTTTGTCCATGAGGGGGGACATCATCGTCTTCCGAGATTGTAAGTGCGACAAGATCATTACCCCCATTATCACCAACACCAACACCAACACCATCACCATCATAATCATCAATCGTGTCGTCAATATCAAGAACTGACATCTGATCATCATTGTCATCAGCCGTATCATTCCTCCTCCTCCCCCTCCTCCTCCTCGTCATCATCGCCATTATCGTCATCGTCATCAGCGGCTGCGAGCTAACAGTCCCCTTATTGCCATGCTCGTTCGAATCCCTCATGGTCATTCCGGCCTCCGTCATTCTGCACCATCATCATCATCGTCATCATCATCATCATCATCATCATCATCATCATCATCATCATTCTAATCGACTCCCTCATCATCGTCATCATTGTTAACATCATCGTCTCCATCGTTATCATGATCAGCTGCTTCTAGCTAGCGTTTCATATGGTTGTCTTTCTGTGCTCTCTCTCTCTCTCTCTCTCTCTCT